CAGCCCTGCACCTTGTTGTCTCGGATTCTCCAGCATCTGCAGTTCCTACTATCTCAGGCACAGGAACTGACACTTATTGCTATCTCCTGTTATTAACTAGCTGCCATTGTTTCTGTAATCCTGATTGTACTAAAAATACATGAAACCTTGCAGTACTTGTGTGCTAATCAATGTTGCTGGAATATTCTACATCCTGTTTAACAATCATTCTTCAGAATTAGCTAATACAGGAGAGTTATACTTTCTATGCTGACTTGAATAATCATGTCCTTGAGTGCACAGGAACTTTTTTGTAATATGTAAGAAAAGTGTTATTTTATTCTGACCAAACATGTTAAGTCAGAGATGCAAGATTCTTTGTTTGCATTTCCTTTATAAGTTAACTTTTCTTGATCCATGGGTGCTTCCTTAGCAGCACAGCCCACCCTCTGATCTGCCAATCCCTGCTTACCGAGTCTGCGTTTGAAGACTTTTGACAGCCCACATCTTAAAGAAGAACCCCATCTGAGTGAGATATAACTTTAAAAAAATCAGAGGTGATGTTTGCCCTCTCCCTCTATCACTACTGTACCTTTAATATAAAAATAAGACTGTTTTCTCCACAGTACTTCATTTTATGGCTGTAGCCATAAAGTTTCTTTGTAGTGATGCTGCTTTATTTTAGTATAACTTGGTGTTTAATAAAAGACAAATTGGACACAAGTCTGTGAAAGCAAAGAACACATGAGGCCAATAAGAATGAGGTGGCAGCTTATCTTTACTGATCTAGGAAAAGTAAATATATAAACGAGATTTGTATCTCAAGCTTACAAACTAAACCTTCAACTCTTGTCCCACAACAATGTCCTGCTGAATCTATAAACAAGCAAATGCAATAACTGTGAGACCAGGCATTCTGGCTTCAGGGGATCATTCTGAGGGCTAAGATTTGGATAGGTGTCAAAGACTTAACTTTAGGTGGTTACATTTTTTTTTGGTCGGCCAAGATGCCAGATTTTACGTTTGCTGATATTGCTTAAGCTACATAATCATGCTCTTTCACTGAGCTTTGCCAATTTTCTGCTTGAACTAATGGCCTTTATTGATTGTTCTGACCATTTTGATGTGATTCATTAAAGGGTGACTGTATCTGATGAGGTCTTTCCAGAGGTATTGAAAGCCACTCAGTAGTACTGCATCCTCCTGCAAAATAATTGATTAGTTTGAAAAATTTCAGATCACATACTGGGCTGAGAAATAAAATACGTAAAGGCAGGATGCAGATTAAAAGCATTCAGCATCAAAACAAATAGATAACCAGCTAAAATAGAGCAAAAGAATAGGTGTACAATAAATATAGAGGGATGATAGGAATTTTTGCAATAGATAGCAAAGAAGTGAAAGGGAATATAGGAAATCAACATTCATCATTACAGCATGCACAAAAGCAAACGAGACCAGCTTTGATATCATGCAAGTACTCTCCCCAGTGTCTCCGTCATAGATGTTTCTAATTTGTCATAATTCCCACTTAGCTATTTTCCTCATCTTGTAGCTGCTTGCATTGCCCCTTCAAATCCTATAGGCATTTTCCTGTGGTAGATACAGGTGAATAATAGGAACCGTGATTTATTTGTCTTTGTCACCTTCCCTGCATAAGAAAGCCAAAGAATGTTGAACCGTAAAGATTCTAAATAAATCCACCTTGCTTTGTCATTTACTTTACATAGGTTTACCATAGTCCCAATTATAATCATTAAAATTGACTTTTTCACAAATGCATCCTTTTTGTCTTCCTAGATAGTTGGAGGCAAAGAATTTTTTTGAGGAATATGTCATCTGTAACCAGTCAAAGTATTCATTTTCTGCATACAGAAGTGATGTTTTATCCCTCTGTTTCCTCCCTGCAGCACTTTCAGAAGGTGATTCCTCAACAATTTGATGGCTGTCCTGACAAACTGGTCCTGAAAGCTTACCAGGTCAAGTACAACACAAAGAAAATGAAGAAGTATGTAACACATAAACCCAGCCTTTGCTTCCCGACACAGTTTTGTTTATAGTGGGGAATTGTTGCAATTGAATGTTGGCTGTGCTGCTGGGAGTTTCCTGATGTTCAGCCATCTCAGCTGGCAGGCGACAGTGAGGCAATGGCTGAGTGGTGTTATCACTGAACTGTTAATCCAGAGACCCAGATAATGATCTGGGGACTGGGGTTCAAATCCAGCCACGGCACATGGTGGAATTTGAATTCACCCGCAAAAACATATAGAATTAAGAGTCTCTGATGATGACCATGAATCCGTTGTCGATTGTTGGAGAAAAACCCATCTGGTTCACTAATTCCCTTTAGGGAAAGAAATTGCCATCCTTACCTGGTCTGGCTTACGTGTGACTCCAGACCCACAACAGTGCGGCTGACTCTTAACTGCTGTCTGAGCAATTAGGGATGGGCAATAAATACTGGCATAGCCAGCAATGCCCTCAACCCATGAAGGAACAAAAGGAAGATTCCCATTTGAATGTTTTGTATGAAAATTGCACTCCCACAAACAAAGCTTAGCATTAAACAGTCAGTTTTCATAATATGGTGCATTATCTATGGTGATCGCTCCACCAATCCAAGTCTACTTGCCAACCATTCCACGCACTCCCCTGATTTTTTTTTCTATTTATATTGATTTTTATTATAAGTTGTCATGAGTGCAGGACAAAATGCTTTGATAAAATGTCTTTTTTCAGCAATATTTAGGTAAATTGTGGCTGACTTGTCTGTGGGGCTATATCCCAACTAGGACCCCATGCCTCCCACAGAATGGGAATAAATGACCCATAATAATCAAAAGTAATCTTGTAACCAGTGTGTTTTGTCATGATTTTTGAAGAATTCCAGAACTGCAGGGTGGAACCATCTTTGTTTCACTCTCCTGTCGCTGAATGTGATTATTTCAGGTACAATTTTGTGATGTGCACGTTTGTTCTTAAAAAAAAAAAAAAAAAAAAATGAGAAAAATATCTTGCTCTTGATGGACTTTGATTTGAGATTCTGAGTGTAAAAATGTTCAGTAACCTTGTAAACCCATGATATTCCTGTGGAGGAGGAGGGTGCATTATATACATGTATGTGTATTTAGGGGTTCTGTTTGACTTTGTCCTACAGACTTGAAAAAGAATATACTACAATCAAAAATAAAGAAATGGAGGAACAGATTGAAATTAAAGTGAGTTTTCACAACAGTGAATGTACAACATTAAATAAAAATCTAAAGAACTGCGGATGCTGTAACTCAGAAACAAAAACAGAATTTGCTGGAAAAGCTCAGCAGGGCTGGCAGCATCTGTGAAGCGAAACCAGAGTTAACGCTTTGAGTTCTGAGAAACTGTCACCGGACCTGAAATGTTAACTCTGATTTCTCTTCACAGATGCTGCCAGACCTGCTGAGCTTTTCCAGCAATCTCTATTTTTTAATGTACAACATCTGTTTGAATTGTGGATATTTTCTTGTATATTCTTTGGAAGTTGGAATTTGCAATTGTGTTAAAGTGAAGTTAATTTTCTAATTAACCTGCTTGCTGTAACTTTTCAAACAAAAAAAAAAGCCCATGTAGTTATTGGAAATCCAGTCAGATAATGTGGTGTTTTCTCCAAAGTAATTATTGGGTGGGAACCTATGTTTGTTCAGACATACAGGGACTATAATTTGCACTTAACATGAAAATACATTTATTTGGGAGGGAGTAGTTCAATGGGTTTTTTCCCCTCCATGACTAATTTATGTGCACTGTAGATTCTGTTGTATTCATTCTTACTGATTTTCCTGTGACTGGAGTCTCTAAATGTATCACAATGAGTTGTTTATCTTGAGCTGCCCAGCATCTAGTTATAAAGTTACTCAAGAAATCTTTAAATATTCCATGACTTCATGTTTCCTTCCATAGGTGCTTCTCCTGTTTCAGGACAACTGCCTGATTTATACTTTGAATTAATGCTGAATTTAAACGAACAAACTAGTCTATTTTACACAGTTGAAAGGATATTTTCAATCTTAAAATACATCTCAATAAGGGCACAGCAATTTGTTTTGTAGGGCTCTTGAGATTTTCTTGAACAATCTTTTGATTTTTAGTGTCTATTTTGACTCATGCTAACTCTCATTGAAGTGCAACAGTCTCTTAGTAAAATATCTTCTGCATTTATGTTGATGTATGTGGTGTTTGATCTTGCACAGAGAATTACAAGAAGTCATTAATATCCTCTATTTATAACCAACGCTTCATCAAATCTAAAGCCAGAACACACACTACACATTTCTTAGACACGACAGCATTGAGATTGGGACAAGACAACAGACATAAGTTAGCAGAGGTTATTTTCAAAACAGCTACACACACATAGCTATCACTCTAAACACACCTTCCACTGACTGATGAGATCACCACTAATGTGTTTCCGTCATATAGGCACAAAACTGGAAGATTATGATCAGGCAGTTACAACACTTTCATGCTGCATCTCCGATCTCAATCTCTAATTTCAAGTTACAATTGACGCAGTATTATTGAAAGGTATTTGGCTGGGGTGGGATAAAAAGTAATTACACGTAATTCTCTGGCTGTGATTGATTTGATAAGGGAACCAGACATGTGGGGCCCCACCGAGCTAAGTGGTGAAAATGAACAGATGGGCAAGTAGTCAAGCAGCCTGTCTAACACTCACTGTTATGGCCTATATGAAAAAAATGGTTACTTGGGTACCAGGCTCAAAATCAACAGGCAACTCCATCTGTAAGAAGGTGGAGGAAATGAAAGAGGAATGAAAAGTATTTTTCATTCACTGGCCAAAAATTAATAGTAATTAAAGGAGAGCTGTGATAATCAACAGCTTCACCGACCGAATCAGAACGAACCTGCAAGCTTACTTTGCATTCAGTAATGATTTTAAAAAAACACCAACAATTTTTTGCAGACTGTTTGTTTGTTTATTTTATGACCAGGGGAGAGGAGCCCTACGCTCTTTCTCTCTCAATCCCTTCTAGGTCACTCGCAGCTAATTTTCTTTATTCCTTTTTTATTATTTTTGTTAAAGATTTATTAATTCAATTGAAAGCAGTAAGGGTGACCATGAAACACTCATCAATTGTCATAAAATCCCATCTGGTTCACTAATGTTCTTTAGGAAAGAAAATCTGCAATCCTTACACGATCTGGCCTATATGTAACTCCAGATCCACAGCAGTGGGGTTGATTCTGAAGTGGCCGAACAAGTCAATTCAAGGGCAACGGGGCATGGGCAACAAATGTTGGCCTTGGCAGTGATGTCACATCTCATGAAAGAGCAAAGAAAAACAGGAAAACTGTACTTGATTCATTTGGATCAAGAAGTGTTCTCAACGGCAACTAATTGTATAAATTTTAAGAATGTACAGGTGGAGGGCGTTCCTTAGATTAGAGACTTCTTGACACTGGTGGATTACAGAATTAGGAGCTATCATTTGTAATGTTTCACGTTGTGAATAAGAGAACGTGACTAAAGATTGACTTCAGGTCTCTTCCTTCAACTGGCAGTTAGAAGCATGGGATGGACTAGTAACCATGTTGTGATACATGTGGCAATTGAGAGCTTAGAAGATTGAAGACTGGCAATAGAAGATTGGCAGAATACCAACTCTAGCTCAGAATCTGTCTGAGCGGCCAATAAAATGAGAGCATTTTTAGACAGTCAATCAAGAAATAAAAAGTACTGTACTAAAATCAAATTTACTTTCTAAAAGAATTACATTGAGGAAAATAAAATTTAATTCACATGGTGTGACGGCAAAAACTGTACTAACCTTTGAAAAACCTTTTCAAAAAATTGTAGTTTTTAAAAGAAAACTAGCAATTAAGCTCAATTATGACATTCAACAAAACTCCAGGAACATAAAATCAATTTTTAATCACCAAATGCGAGTCCCATTTGACTCAATTGCAGTGAGTGCATAGGATTTCTGGCAGCCATGTAAAAGTGAGAGTTTTTGCTGAAGTAAAGGATTACAATGGTTACTGATCAGGTATGGGTCCCCAGTGCAACCTTTGACAGAGCAGTGAGTGACAAATTGCAACATCAGTCTTCTTTTCAGGTCCAATGTGACATCACATTTTTGGAGAGTCTAGCTCAATTTCAACCATTTGATGGACAGAGATGGAGTTGGTGGACAGTGAACAGAGTTGGAAGTTGGATCTCAATAAATTACAGAATCACAGAATTTTTACAGCACAGGAGGCGGCTATTTGGCTCTTCATGCCTGCACCAGCTCTACAAGAAAGCATCATTACCTGGTGCCAGTCTCCTGAGAGCAATCCCAACTTCTTCAGTCTATCCTCATAACTGAAGTTTCTCATGCCTCGAAGCATACTTGTGAATCACTTCTGCATTCTGCACACAGTGAATTCACGTGTTATAATGTGCTGTCCACAACTGTGCATTATGCTCCAGCTGTGGTCTGACTTTTTAGTCTCAAGTTAAACTGTAGTAGCAGAACTAAAGAGTGCAATCTCAAATTGATAAGGCTGGAAAGTTTGTTGCAGCATATTTCTTGTAGGTAAAGAACTTGAAGATAAAGCAGTCAAGATGAAGACTTTGGAATCTTTGAAGAGCCTTTTTGACATTCTGATGATGTTGTGAAGGTCATGAAAAGTCATTGGCCAACAGGATTAAGGAAAATCCCAAGGCTTTTTATACAAATATAAAGAGCAAGAGGATAGCCAGGGAGAGGATTAGCCCACTCAAGGGCAGGGAAGGGAATTTGTGTGGAGCCAGAAGAAATGGGCGAGCATTTTTAGAGTCAGCGTTCACCAGAGAGAAGGGCTTGGTAGATGAGGAGTCTGGGGAAGGGTGTGTAGATAGTTTGGGTCATGTTGAGATCAAAAGGGATGAAGTATTGGGAGTCTTGAAAACCATTAAGGTGGACAAGTCCCCAGGGCCTGATGGGATATACCCCAGATTACTGAGAGAAGCAAGGGAGGAAATTGCTGGGGCCTTGAGAGAAACCTTTGTATCCTCCCTGACTACAGGGCAAGTCCCAAAGGTTTGGAGAATAGCCAATGTTCTTTTATTTAAGAAGGGTGGCAGGGATAATCCAGGTAATTACAGGCTGGTGAGCTTCACGTCAGTGGTAGGGAAATTATTGGAGAGGATTCTTCGAGACAGGACTTACTCCCACTTAGAAATAAATGGACGTATTAGCGGGAGGCAACCTGGTTTTGTGAAGGGAAGGTCGTGTCTCACTAACTTGGTTGACTTTTTTGAGGAAGTGACGAAGATGATTGAGGGTAGGGCAGTGGATGTTGTCTGCATTGACTTCAGTAAGGCCTTTGACATGGTCCTTCATGACAGGCTGATACAGAAAGTAATGTTGCACGGGATCAGAGGTGAGCTTGCAAGATGGATTTCAAAAAACTGGCTCGGTCATAGAAGACAGAGGGTGGCAGTGGAAAGGTGTGTTTCTGAATAGAGGGCTGTGACTCGTGGCATTCCTCAGGGATCAGTGTTGGGGTCTTTGTTATTTGTAATATATATAAATGATTTGGAGGAAAATGTAACTAGTTTGATTAGTAAGTTTGTGGATGACACAAAGGTTGGTGGAATTGCGGATAGCAATGAGGACTGTCAGAGGATACAGCTGGATATAGATCGGTTGGTGAATTGGACAGAGAAATGGCAGATGGAGTTTAATTTGGAAAAATGTGAGGTAATGCATTTTGGAAGATCTAATCCAACGGAAAATATACAGTAAATGGCAGAACCCTTAAGAGTACTGATAGGCAGAGGGATCTGGGTGTATAGGTACACAGGTCACTGAAAGTGGCAACGCAGGTGGAAAAGGTAGTCAACAAGGCACACAGCATGCTTGCCTTCGTCGGCCAGGGCAATGAGTTTAAAAATTGGCAGATAATGTTGCAGCTTTATAGAACCTTAGGCCGCATTTGTAATATTGTGTTCAATTCTGGTTGCCACACTACCAAAAGGATGTGGTGGCTTTGGAGAGGGTACAGAAAAGATTTACCAGGATGTTGCCTGGTATGGAGGGGATTAGCTATGAGGAGAGGTTGGAGAAACTTGGGTTGTTCTAACTGGAACGACGGAAGTTGAGGGGCAACCTGATAGAGGCTTACGTGATTATGAAGGGTATGGACAGAGTGGACTGTCAGAAGCTTTGTCCTAGGGTGGAAGAGTCAGTTA